AGGGGCGGAGGGCTGGGACGGGTGTTCGGGGAGGATGGAGGGATGGACAGGCCCAGAGGATGGATGGACGGAGGGACAGAGAGCTCCGAGTGGACAAATGGGCTTGGAGGAGAGATGGAGGAGCGGACGGACAGAGAGACGGAAGGGCAGATGGATGGAGAAGAGCTTGGAGGAGAGGCAGAGGGCCAGGGAAATGGATGGACGGACGTGGAGGACAGACAGACAGAATGGTGGACAGATGGATGATCTCGGAGGACAGACAGGAATGGAGAAGACGGACAGAGACGCTTGGACAAGGGACAGATGGACGGTCTACAGCGAGACGGACAAGTTTGAGGATGGACAGATGAAGGGATGGGGAACCAGACGGGCAGAAGAGCTTGGAAGACAGACAGACAGACAGAGATGGAGAAGACGGGCAGGAACTCAGAGAACAGAGGACGGATCTGCGGCGGGGTGGAGGAGCTTTGAGGACAGGCAGGACAGACGGACGGAGGGGGGCACCGGGAGGGCCTGACCTTGACGGAGTAGGCGAGGGAGATGGTGACGGCCAGCGGCAGCCCCTCGGGGACGGCCACCACCAGGACGGTGACGCCGATGATGAAGAACTTGACCCAGTACTGGACGTAGACGGGGGTGCACTCGGCCAGCCAGGGCCGACCCTCCACCACGAAGGTCTCGATGACGAAGTAGAGCACCAGGATGATCACCGTCACCGCCGACATCACCAGCCCTGCCGCACAGCGCCTTCAGCCACCCGCTGGCGGCGGGGGACGACGTCCCCATCCCCACCCCCGGGGGATCCCCGGTTATCCGGGCGCCCACCTGCCTTGCCGATCTGCACGGCCAGCTTGGTGAGCTTGCCCTGCAGCACCGACTTCTCCTTCTTGGGGCCGCTGCTCCGCTTCCGCTCCCGCTCCTCCACGTCCCCCCCTTCCGCGCTCTTCAGCGGCTGCATTTCCATCGCCACCGCCCCATCCTGCTTCTTGGCTGGGGACACCGACACGGCTCCGTCGGCGGTGAGGGGGGGGAAGACGGAGGACACACGCACCCACACCCGGGGGGGGGTCGGGGTGTGCCCCCCCGCCGCCGCCACCCCCTGCCCTGGCGAGGGACCCCGGCGCACCTTTGCTCTGCAGGTTCTCCACCGCACCGTCCTGGGGCTTCCCTGCGGCAGAAGGACGGACGGCACCGGCGTCAGACACGGGACGAGACACGAGGGGAAGGGACGGGGTTGGGGACCCCCCGGCACCCCCACATCAACCCAAACTGGGACGAGCCAAGGCCGGAGGAAGGACTCGGCTCCATCCGGGGACACCGAGAGCCCCTGGAGAGGGTGCGGGTGGGAGGTGATGAACCCCGAGCGCCCAGAGCCCGTCAGGAGTCACTCCAGGTTGAGGGAGACCACGTCCGGAGGTCCTCAGCCCACCTGGACTCAACGAGGAGTCACTCCGGATTGGGACAGCACCAGGACGGGTGAGCAGAGCCCATCCCTGGTCAATCCAGAGCCAATGTGGAGTCACTCCGGATTGGGACAGCACTGGGATGGGCAAGCAGAGCCCGTCCCTGGTCAATCCGGAGCCAATGTGGAGTCGCTCCGCTCCCAGCCCCCAGGGACACAGGCATGAGGGGATGGAGCTCACGGAGAGGACACACACGACAGGGACAGCGGGACGGACGTGGGGACGGAGAGAGGGGGGCCGGGCACCCACCTTTCTTCTCCTTCTTCTCCTCCTCCTCCTCCCCGCCGGCGCCCAGCAAGGTGAAGATGATGCCGCTCTGGGAGTTGACCCCCACTGCCGTCACCACCATCTTCCCTGAGCCCTCCATGACGTGGGTGCCTGCGTGGGGAGGCGGGGGGGTGGGGGGTCACAGCGGGGCTCCCCGGCCCCCCGAACGCCGCCGGCCGCCCCCCCGCCTCACCCGAGAGCAGCATGGGGTCCTTGTCAACCGACTTGCGGACGTGATCGGACTCCCCCGTCAGCGCGCTCTCGTCGATCTTCAGGTCGTTGCCTTGGATCAGGACGCCGTCGGCCGGCAGCAGGTCACCTACGAGGGAGGCCGCGTCACCCCGGCGCGCCCATCCACCCCGGCGTCGGGGCTGCCGGAGCCCCCGGCGCCCCCCTCTCCTTCCGTGGCACTCACCGTACTTGACCTGGGCGACGTCGCCCACCACCAGCTCGGCGACGGGGACCTGGGCCTGGCGGCCGTGGCGCACGACGGTGAAGCGCTGCTCCTGCTCGATGCGGCTCTGCAGCCCCCGGAACTGGCGTTCCTTGCTCCAGTCGTTGAAGGCGGTGACGAGGACGACGCAGGCCACCGACAGCAGGATGGCCGCCCCCTCGATCCAGCCCGCCTCCGCCTCCCCCTCGTCCTCCGTGCCCCCCGAGGCATGGCCGCAGACTGCGGGGGG